CATTAATCTAATAAAATAAAAATAACAAAAAATTTTTGTTTTTCAAAAAAATTAACATACGAAAGATCTTTCATTGTTGTACGTTCACCTCGATCAGTTTCTTTAACACGTTTTTGTATTGCAAAATCTTTTATTTTTTTTGTAATACTCCTTTAAAAGAATAATCATTTTAAAAAATAACGAAATAAAATTAAAATACATACTGTGTAACAACAGCAATATGTTGATGACGAAGTTCAGTCCAAAGGTCATCATTTTCATCTAATAGAACTTTTTGTTTTTGCCCTGGATTTATTTTTGGATCGCCAGCAGGTGTTTGAACTTCATATCTAATTACACAAAAGAAAAAAAAACAAAAATTCTTTATTATAAAATTAATGAAGCTTTTTAAACATACTCAAAAACATCATTTTCAATGTTTAATAAATCATGTGCCATTCCTTGGAATGTTAATTCATGAAGTAATGGTGAAACAGCATCAAAACCACGATCAAGTAAAAGTAAAACGGATTTTGCTTTATCACCACCCTATTGTATTATAAAATGCAAAAATAAAAAAACAATTTTTGTTTTTTGTTCATTTACTTCGCCCATTGTTGTATCATCAGCTTTATATTGATTAAGTTTTTGTTGTACAGCATGTGCAAATTCAAGCATTTTTTCATTGTCACATCGATAACGAATTGTTGGATATTCACCAAGTGTTGCACATAATGTTGCAATTTGTTCAGCAATAACATCTAAATGTGTAGCTCGTACTTGAGCTTGTGATGGATCATATGCAATAAAAAATGTATCAGGTGAATCAAGTGTAAAAACCTTTAAAATATATATTTATATGTAAACATATTATAATAATACAAAAAAATTTTCTACCTGACGTTCATATGGTAAAAAGGCAATATTAACTTCTCGTAATGTTTTGATATATTTTGCACATTTTGATTGAGTTAATTTGGTAAATAATTCAGCATTGCATGCTAAAAAAGAAGATTACGTTTAAAAATACACTAGAAGTACAAGTTGTCATGACTATATCGAACATGATACCTTTCGAACGGCTGAAAAATTTGTACTTCATAAGTATAAATCTTGAAGTACAATGAATTATTCGGAGTTCATAATCAGACAGACTTATGATAAAATGTACTCAAAGTGATATGCTTGTAGCGCACGTTAGTAATTCTGACCCTCGAGTTTATGAAAATTATCTTTACAATGCCTCTACAAGTATTTCGTTAGCATATATATAATGTTCGAGAAAAATTTTAATAACGCTTTTTTTATGTTAAACACCTTGCTGAAATTCAAATAGTGATTTTAATACATTCTATGCTACTAATGACAAAATATTTTCGAAACGTATATTTAATGGATAGTTTCATTGGTAGTCAACTAGAAAAAATACAAGGTTCTCAGAAGATTTTTTTTCGTGTGTAGAACTTTGTAGAGCCTGTTATGCTAATCACTTTGATCAAAATACTCGAAAACATCAATTACGGTCTAGCAGCAGTCAAGAACAGCTGAAGTTTTTGAATATTTTTTTAACCAAAATCATCAGAGAACCTTGAGTTTTTTTTTTTGCTGTTGCGTATCCATTAAAAAAGTTAACAGTACCACAAAAACTGAAATTTATCATAAATTTTGTGAAATGCGATGTAAACGAAGTAGAAGAGTAAAAACTTAGACTTCCTACATATGTAAAAAATATTGTTGATATACAATCACAGATTGTATATGACCTACTTCTTTATTGTATTTCAAACGGATTAAGTGAAACGATAGAGAAGAAATATGTCCGAAAAAAAAAGAATAAAACAATCTCCATATAATTAACAATAGCAACTACATCATGTTCCACATTTTAATCCCACAGGGATTGTGCTAACAGCTTCTTAAGGGACGATCGTAAACAATATGACGCCTCCTCGTATTGTTCTTTTTAAAAATAGTATTGTTAACAAAAGAGCTCCGATAAAATTCAATAAGACCTAAAACTTACGGTAATCATTATAGTTCATCTAGTATCTTGAATAAATTAGATAAAAAATTTGATTTGATATTAAAATCATTATCCGGATTTGACTTGGATACTTTACATTATACAACAATATATATTGTTGTTAAAAAAATTTTTTTCTACCATTTTATATGTATGAAGATTTTGTTACACATTCAAAGAACTGAATTAATGAATTACATTTCGAGATGAATCATTCTGTCATTTTATAAAGATGACTAATTATTTTGATTTATTTTATTTGATATAACGATAAACATCGAAGAAAAAAAAGTCGTCATAACTGACAGTTGACATGCAATTTCATTATCTTTATATTCATATGGACATTAATTCGACAATTTTTTCCCACTCTGTTGAAAGACAAAAACATATTGACTATTAACATAATAATACCTTCAATTTCTGATTCATTTGCTTTGGTAAACAAAACAAAGCAAAGCATGATTTTAAATAGCATCAAATAGTTGATAAAAATCGGGTGCTTCTACATGATATACACACCCTCGACCTTACCCACACTGTGCATGTGTGTGTCTATATGCTGTACGGTGTGCAATCATGTAGAAGAATTAAAAATCGCTCTTGTTATTTACTAATATTACAGTATACAATTTCTTTTTTCTTCTAATTAAATTTATGGAAGAGAATATAGAATTTTCGAAGAGTCTTATGGAATTACCTTCAGTAAAAAAGACATGTGCGGCTTTGTATTTTGGTACAAATGCATTTCCTTTATCAAAATCACTAATAAGTTCGTCGATTGACTACAGAAACAAAAAAAAAGAAAGAATTCATTTAATCAAATATTCGAATTTTTTCTTCTCTTTACTTTTTCGGTTGGCTGAATAAAATAAACAGCTTCAAGCATTCCTAATGGTTCACGTTTTTTCATAATATCTTCAACAACTAAAAATTAATACAATTATTATAAAATAACGAAAATAAAATAAGACGAAAATTAAATTCTACTTGTTATTCCTTGCGACATAATATCATGCATTTTACATGATGCAGATATAATTCGTGTTGCTAAACGATCCATAACAAGTACTTTCCAATCATTTCGTTCTTTTTGTCGAACGGATTGACATTGTAACATGTCACTAATTAATTCTAAAAAATAATAGAAATAAATAAATTTCTCTCTTTTTCTTTTGTCATTTTCTTACTTTCTGCGACTATTTTTTGTAAATTGGACGTTGTCATTGTATTAATTTCATACGTATTAAAAATAGAAAATCATGTATACAAAAAAAAAGGGCAACACGAATGAAGAAAATCTTTCAAATGATTTGCAATGGATTTTTATAATGTGTATGTATATATATATATAAGTTGCTCAATTAAAACATTACTCGGATTTTTTTTTTTTTTCAGTAACAAATAGTTTTATTGAGGATTGAAAAATACATAAATGGTTTATATTTTCTATTCAATTCACAAATGCATTTCAATTCATTGAATATATTTCTATTGGTTATATATAAGAACCAATAGATAGAAGTATAGTTTATTCATTGTTCCTTGTTCTATTGTTATCTATCGTCTTAAATAGGATACAATTGTGGATTTAAGAATCTAAAAAAGCGTGGCAATTTTGAAAAAATCCATTCTAAGGTAATGTGAATAGTTGCTTTTTTTTCCGAAGTCAATCAGATAGTGTGTTTACGTACATATGATTTTTTATATCATGATTGTAGACAAAAAACAATTAAGAAATTCATAAGTAAACACCTTGAAGTAAAATCGTTTTAGACAATTCATTAATAAAAGAATTAATTTTATATTGAAAACTTATTTGCGTAGTCCTTGGCAGATTAAAATGCGAAACGTGATTTATAATTGGATTGTGTTTGTATGTCACGGTGTATGACACAGGGAAGGTGTTTAAATTTTTATCGTTATACTTCATGGCTTACATTTGATCGTGAATCTTGGTTATTTAAGAGTATATTTTTATTGGAAAAAGATAAGCGAACCGATATGAAACACAGCAGTATTTTTCTTTTCACATAAGAACTTTGTAACCTTACAGATCATAATATGAATCTGAAATTTCAAAGTGTATTTTGTCGCAACATCTACAAAGATGAAGAAGAGCCTATCGTGTTGATCCCAAGTCCGATGACCTCTAGTCATCGAGCAGGAAAATAGTATCGCGTATCTTCGGAGCAGCTATCCAAATCCGATTGGAAACCCTCATTGAGAGTATCAAATGACGATTTTATCGAATCCAATTTTGGACCTGGTAAGAGTAACTAATGTACAAGCGAACGTAACTCTCGCTTCTACTTAAGAAAAAAACAGATATTTATATTAGCGATGAGAGAAAAAATACAATCACGCATCGTATAACAAAATGCAAGGTCAAACATATTTGTCGAAGGACGAATGCATTCACGCATGAATCTCTTAGGACAATCTTTAATACTGTAAAAGACAGAAAATCACTATTGAAGTCAATGATGATACTTTTTAAGCAATATTTATAAATGTTGTTATGATGAAAAAAAAAATTCGTCCTATAGAGTGAAGAGATTTCAATTGTTTTTGCGTATATGTGAGAGATCTTATTCTTAAAAAGATTTAGGCTAATATAGCTTCTTTCGGTAGATATAAATATTTCTACTTCTCAATTAAGAAAATTTCAAACTGAAACTCTTTAATTTATTATTTTTTTCACAAAAAAAAAAACTTAGCTTTAGAGATTCAATATTCAGTAAAATGATTCTAATTTTTGATTCGAAAGCTCATGGGAATATATCCGTAATGAGTTTTCTTTATCTCATTCGTATCTATGGCTGCTTGTGATATAAAGTAGAAACTTATGAATAGATCGAGTGATTTATTCATATATAATTGAATCGTTTTTAATCATCAGTGAGCTTCATCAAGCATTAAAATTCTATTTAAACAGTCAAAACGAATATCTCTTATTTGACTATCTACAACAAAAAAAAAAAACTGTTGCTTTTAGATGAATAATCAAAATTCAATTTCAAAACCAGCTGTTATTAAACAACCATCATCATCTGTATCAACTAAACAAAAAAATAAAATGCTCGATAATGACAATAAACAATATAAGACAAATGAAGAAAATATTAATCATAATTCTAGTGAAACAACACCAACAATTGACAGTCCTTCGACAACAAGTAATGACAAGGTAAATGCACGAATATCTCGAAGTAAACAAAAATCGAGCAACTATCGTGTCCTTGTAAATCATCAAGCAATCGAGATTGAGACATGAAAAAAAAAGAAGAATAAGATGTCAATTGCCTATTTTTCATTAAATAGACCAGCTGGTGTATATGGTACGAAAAATTTTTAAATAGTTATTTGTTCTATTGTGTGAACAATGACTAAGAAAATAATGCTCTATGATTATAGCATCGATTAGATAAACTTTGTTGGTTTCGTATTTCTTCTAATCTCATTTTAATTGATTGTATTTATATGTAATTTTTATTTTGTAAAACTCATTGTATATTTTTAAAGAAAATAATAATGAGTATGGAAGTTTAAACCCTTCGTCATGATAAATCTTAGCAATTAGGATTAAAGATGTTGAATGATGTTAATAATAAAACTTAGAATGTTCTAGAAGTTTTCTTGAAATCGAAATATATCTATCAATATTCTAAATATTGCAGTTGTTGATTTCAGTGCAGATACAATATATCAAGGATGATGTTTTGATTTCCCACAACTGTTATATGACCAAGACAAAAGTATAATCGGATTAAGTTCGAACTTTCGAGAATAATCAATCTCAGTCGTATTGAATCTATCATGATACACAATAGATCATTAAGATCTATTCTAGATATAACACATGTGTACAACAGGCTTATTTGTCTATCAAAATAATAATAAATTGTAAACAGAAAATAAATATCATACGAATAATAACAAGACAAATATGCAAAGAATTAATTATCATTAAAAATAAAACGAAATATGATCTTTTTACACTTTGCATATATTATTTTAGTATAATGAAGCTAAATAAAAACATATAAGTTCCATATTCTGCTCTAAATGAAATGTGTTAACAAATGCTTTTCTTTAAAAATCTTGAATTTGATTCTATTGAAATCTTACAATAGTTATTCTTTGTTTTTGTTTTCGATTTTTAGGAAACAAAAGAAAACGAATTAATAATCTATGAATTTCATTTTCCTATTGAACTTTGTGGTCGTCTTATTGGTCGACAAGGTGTTCATGTTGATTATATACGACAAATGGCACAAGTTGATTTAGTTGTACGAGATGATGCTATTTCTTATGAAAAACAAGTTGTTGCTTTACATGGTATTCTATTAATATTTTTTCTTTTTTTTGCTTTCTTATTAAATATAATTATAATTAGGTCGTCGAGTTGATGTTGCACAAGCTATTGAATTAATAGCTAAACGTTTTCCACCTGATCGTTATCCACAAGTAACATTTAAACCTATAAATAAAAAAATTATTGTACGACAACGTCCACCAGAATGTGTACCAATACCTTCATCAATTGCTCAAGTAAATAAAAATTAACAAAAAAAAAATCCTATTGGGTTACATGAATTTCGGCCCACGGAATTTTCGGCTCGGACTTTCGATCCGGTCCGAAATTCCGGTGAATTTTTGGGCCGGGCCGAAAGTTCTAGAGGAATTTCGGCCCATCCTTAGAATGATCTCATTGACCCCTAGAAAAAAAGTTTAATTTTTTTAATTAATTGCTACATATCGTAGTGCTGAGCAGGACGACGTGTTGCTGAGTAGGATGACGTGTTGCTGAGCAGAACGGCGTAGTGCTGAGCGGGACGACTTTCTGCTGAGCAGGACGATATGGGCGTGGACATAGCTGTGGACACCGGTCAACGCAAAAAAGATATGAACATACCATATACGCCTGCACCCGCCCTAGCACCCCACAAGCTTACACCTATACCCACACCCACATCCATGGTATTCTGCTCAATACTGCGCCACGTCGTCCTGCTCAGCACTACAATATCTAGCAATTAATCAAAAAAATTAAACTTTTTTTAGGGGTCAATTAGGTCATTCTAAGAATGGGCCGAAATTCCTCTAGGACTTTTGGCCCGGCCCGAAATTTCACCTGAATTTCGGACCGGGTCGACAGTCCGGGTCGAAATTCTGGTCCCCCATCCTATTGACTTTATTTTTCGTTTTTTATAGCTTTATTTACCAGATGGAATACCAATTGAAGTTCTTGTTACAAGTGTTGTTTCATGTAATCATATATTTGTTCAACAAATATTACATCCATCTTATCCTGAACTTAGTCGTCTTGATAATTCAATGTCAGTATTTTATCATCATACAGAAATGACACCACTTTTACCTCGACCTATTCAACGTATGATTTATTATTTTTGTTAATAAGAAAAATTTTCTTTCAATTTTTGATTTATTTAGCTGGTATTATATGTGCAGCACCAACACAAGCTGGTTGGTTTCGAGCATTGATTACAGTCTATAACAGTAATCATGATATGGCTATGATTAAATTTCTTGATTATGGAGGTTATCTTTATGTACATGCGAATTCTTTACGTGTTCTCAGGTAAATTAGATGATATATTTAATTATTTGAAAAATTGTTTTTTTATTTTTCATAGGCAAGATTTTATGATTATTCCATTTCAAGCAGTTGAAGTTTATCTTGATAATGTTGTAACAGCAGATAGTAAGTCATTTATATGAATATATTAAAATTCTTATCATCAATTCCAATACTATGTTTAAGTAGATGTTAGAATATTTTCAATTCAACATATTAATTAGAGATAAATATATGTTGATAATAATAACTTAGAAAATAAAATTTATATTTTTCAGGAAGATGAAAAAGCATAGAAACGTAGTAATTTGGATGTTTTTTTTTCTTAATGATAATAACTAGAACAAATTGAAGAAAAGATTTGAACCACTAAAACTATTTCCTAACCGACAAAAAGCTCTTTGGAAAACCAAGACTCATAAAAGAACAAATTTTTTCTTTTGGATTCTATAAAAAATAAATACGAAAATCTCGGATTTAAATCCGAGTGTTATGTGTACTTCAAAAAGTAAAAAGGTATATTCACTGTGTTTTTTATCACTAAATTACAAGGAGAAAATACAGACGTGCTAAGTTAGCATGGA